AATAAACTACTATGTAGCGGCTATATAGCGACAAATAAGGTGATTACAAAAATATAGTTGCAAGATACCACTGATTTGCGACGGGAAAAGGGTCATTTTCAACCTCAACAATTTGCATCGTGTATTTTCCTACCTAAACTAAGACACAGTGCATTTTTCTACTTGAACGTTTTAAAATTTCAAAAACTCAACCCAAACTTTAACTTTTGGGCCTAAAACAAACTTGATTTTAACAGAAGTTAGTCAACCGTTAAATATAGAAAACGACGTTGTTTTGAATTGAAAAAAAAAAATTTGAAAAATCGTAAAATTTGTTTTAGACAAGACTCGAAACCTGGTCTGATGCTCAGACCAACAACACACAAACCATGTTGCTAACGTAACTTTTGACAACTAAAATTGAAGTAAATAACATGTAACATAACGTTTTTATTACAAATGTTAATTATACTTTCATCTTTAGATCGTTTCTATTGCTTTGTTAGTTAGAATACAAATTTCACTTTTCAGTTGTTAAAAATATTAAATTAAAACGTTTTACTAAAAATATTTTATTGAAATATGAGTTTCACTTTTGAATTTTTAATAAAAACATTTTTTTCAAAGCATGTATAGCAGAAATTTATAAATTAATAAATTTTGTTAATTACTAAATTTTTCGGTTTTGAATTGGTCTAGTTCAATATATTACACAAATATATGATCTTATTAATATAACAAAATTAATAATATGATCTTTGTAAACCAATAGGAATTGAATTTTAATGGACACGTTTAATTTTACTTTTTAATAACTGAAAAGTGAAATTTAATTTTTAAATTTAGTAAATAAAAAAGAAATAGAAACGGATCTAAAGAAGAAAGTATGATGTTTATTTATTTAGTAATTTAAAATTTTAATAATTTACAAAATTTATTAAATAATAGATATTCTACTATACATGTTTTGAAAAAGTGTTTTTATTAAAAATTGAAAAGTGAAATTCATATTTTTAATAAAACATTTTTAGTAAAAAAAAATTAATTTCACCTTTTTAATAACTTTAAAGTGAAATTTATGTTCTAAATAACGCGAAAAGGCAGTGTATCTTTGTTTAGGTAGGAAAATACAATTAATAAACTTTGTAAATTACTAAATTTAGAACATAAATTTCACATTTCAGTTATTAAAAAGTGAAATTAAAAAATGTGTCCACTAAATTTCAATTATTATTAGTTTACAAAGATCATATTATTACTTTATTATATTAATAAGATCATATATTTGTGTAATATTTTTAACTAGACCAATTCAAAACCAAAAAACTTAGTAATTTACAAAATTTATTAATTTATAAATTTCTATTATACATGTTTTGAAAAAAACGTTTTTATTAAAAATTTAAAAGTGAAACTCATATTTTAATAAAATATTTTTAGTAAAACGTTTTAATTTAATTTTTTTAACAACTGAAAAATGAAATTTATATTCTAAATAACAAAGCAATAGAAACGATCTAAAGAAGAAAGTATAATTAACATTTGTAATAAAAACTTTATGTTATATGTTATTTACTTCAATTATAGTTGTAAAAAGTTATTGTATTAAAATGGTTTGTGTGTTGTTGGTCTAAGCATCAATCCAGGGTTCGAGTCTTGTCTAAAGCAAGTTTTATAATTTTTCAATTTTTTTTAATTCAAAACGACGTCGTTTTCTATATTTAACGGTTGACTAACTTCTGTTAAAGTCAAATTTGTTTTATGCCCAAAAGTTGAGTTTTTGAAATTTTGTAGCGTTCAAGTAGAAAAATACTTGTATTTTAGTTTAGGTAAGAAAAGGTCTGATGCAAATTGTTGAGGTTGAAATTGACCCTTTTCCGATTTGCGACCACTATAAATAGTCGCCAATTATTAGTCGCAAAATAGTAGTAACTTTTGCTGACATAAAGCCGGTAAAACACATTTTCTGCGTTATGTGGTTGGTGTGCCTACTGTTTTGTAATTAGAAAATGACGATGCTGTACTTTTGATTACAATTGATGATATTAAAATCAAAAATTTGGTATAAAATCAAACCCAATAGAACTCGATTACGATGTTGGAAATGCAGAAAATGATGAATTTCAATATAATGAATCATCTTCTGATGATGGTGATAGTAAAGAAGAAATTTACTAATTTTGCTATCATTTTGTGTGAAATCTGAAAATCCAATATTTTCTTCCAAAGAAAATCAAGAATTTCATTAAGTTTTTGGAAACCAACTCCAAAATTTAAAGCGGAAATCAAAATTATACAAAACCAAATCTAAAACCAAAACTTAAACCAAACCAAATTTTAATCTAATCGAAAACCAAATATATCAAAAAAGTTAACTAAAATTTTAGCAATTCTATATATGCTTCTATATATTGATAATGTGTTTAAATCACTTTGGGTAATAAATATCAACTTTGTATCTTATTTATTTCATATTATCTAAACTACAAAATTTAAAGTCTTGGAATTTTTTTTCGCGAAACCAAATCCAGAATTTAACCAAATTTTTAAAAATTAAATACCAAATTTCAATTCAAAACTAAAACCAAATCTAAGTTTTTATTTTCAAAAACCAGAACCAAAATTTAAAACCAAATTTTGATTTCCCGAAACAAAAATTTGATTTCCCCCCAAAACCAAAACTAAACTCCAAAATGGCTAAACGAAAATGAAATGAATTTCCCAAAACCAGAACCAAAATTCTCGAAACCAAAATCCCAAATAAGTATCCTACCTTGTCACTCTTCTTCTCTTCTCCCTATGCCGATTAAGAACCCTAATTTCCAAATACTCTAGGATTGTGATTCTCAGAGACAACCCGTGTCACTTTTCTTCTCTTCTCCCCTAACCCCGATTCTAAAATCTCTCAATCTCTCTCATTTTCGAAATCTCTAATCTCTCTTTCTCTCTCATTTTGGAAACTCAAACCCTCCACTCCCAAATCGATTTCACCAATGACGAACTGAGGGCGAGGTGGTGTTCCGAGACTAATCGTTGTGTCGCTATTAGGAAGAAATAAAAACGATTTGTTTTAGTTCCAGTTAAGGATTCTTCTACTTGCTGAATTTTGATAACTATTTCTGTTCTTTGTTTACTGCTGTAAGACAATATGATACGTTTTATGTATCATTTTATTGCATCTGAAAATGAGTGTTTGTTTGCTTCTAAGTATATGGTCTTGTTACTTTCCTTTTATTCACTTATTTGCTTACTATTTACAGGTTGTTTCTTTGTTTGAAGGTTTGATAATGAGAAAGGATCCTTGGTCCGAGAGATTACTAAAATCTTTACAAATAAATTTGATAGTCCCTATTATAGCTAGACAGTTGTGCCTCCGGACTGACAAGAAAAATACTTTGTTGAGTTAGTGGTAAATGTGTCTCTCCTCTGAATTTCCTATATATGTTTGCTTCTATTGTTTCCACTAATCAATCTCATGTCTTGGAAATGTAGAAAACCCACACGTGGGATTAATATCAAGGACAGTTTAAATGCAAGTCTTTTCATTATGTAACATTTTAGGAAAGGGAGTTGGGAAGACTAGTAAGTATTGGTGATGTTTATATCAAAATCCCTGTTACAGATTTGGTTTGTAGACAAACAAATCAATAATTAATAACAATGTATGTATATATTATTTTCATTTTATATATTATTTATTCCAAAAAATATTATTATCAATATACCAAATCGTAGATTTGAGTACCAAACAAATATCAAATATAAATTTTAATAAACAAATAAGTCATTGATTAGTCATATTTTAATCACCAAAAAAGTTGCAAAATAATTGCAAAATACTCGTAAACAAATTATCATTTCACGTGTCAATATTTTGATTAGTCGCTAAATAATCGTACATTCATCACTAAATAATCACGTATTATTGGCAAATTTGTAAACACATTAGTCGCAACATAGTCGGTGAGTGGTTAATAAATTCATCGCAAATTACTCACTGTGTTTGCGACCACTTTCCGACTAACTATCGACCACATTCTTAACTTCTTTATAGTTTGGATTTTGAGACGAAGGATCGACAATTTTTTCTTTTAGTTGTTAAGGAGCTGTAAATATGATTTTTCCGACTAATATCTGACTACTTTTACAAGAATTAAATAAATATTTTTTTGTGATAAAACAAAATTGAGTAACTAAACTTGTAATAGTCATGTAGAACTCATAAAATTATAAGTAGAAACGTCTATTACTAATCTTTCATTCTGTAGAAAAAAAAATCTCAAAGAAAATCTAAAACTAATATAATAGACGAAGATGGATAAAAAAAAAAGACTTCCAATCAATCATACAAACAAAATGGACTATTTCCAAAATCCAAGAACCTTCATACAAAGGGACCGCTTGGTGTATCTTTTTTTATTCCAGAAAGATAATCCATGGCAGCAAAGATCGGAAGATTCTTTTAGGGTCTTGAACGGCAAAGAAAAGAAGTTTCGGTGGCTGAAAAAAGTCCTAAAAGACCGTATATATATATATATAAAAGTTATAACTTTTAGTTTGGAGATAAATATTCTTTTAATAAACACTGGCATTCGTTCTCTTTTTCTGTCCATATTGAACTCCTTTTGATACAAATTGAGCTTAACATAACGAATAATTAATTAATTCAAACCCACTCGAATCCAAAAAAAAATATATATACATCAGAATTAAATATATAATGTGAGAATGCTTATAAAATGTTAACGGATTAGATAAAAATATTAACAGTAAAATATAAAAATTGTGTTATTTTAACAAATATATTTATAGAACATAAAAGTTATAAAACCATATTTTTTCACCTCCAAACATACCAACATTGTCAATTTTTAAAAAATGAACTATCCCCCGCTCAACTTATGATCCATTAAAAGAAAAGACGCTTAATGTAATAACAGAAATAACAACAAAATAGGAAGGTCATGAATTGTAGTTGTAAGTCTTCAAAAGAGGAAAAGAGAAGAAGACAAGTGAAAAGATCAAGCAGCTTTAAGGAACTTCAAGGTTTCATCAATGTGTTTCTCAGGCTGGAACTGGTTGTTGTAGATGAGCTGAACGATACCGTTTTTGTCAAGAACGTACGTCTGTCTCCCCGGCAACGCCCCAAACAGGTCTCCTGGCACTCCCCAATCTTTCCTCACCTTATTCCCTTCGTCGCTCAACAATGTGTACGGTAGTTTGTATTTGCTTGCAAACGCCTACAACGTTTAAAAGTCCGGAAAATGAAAATGGCCCGGTTTTAATTCCGAAATCAGAGATCTTTCTGATGTCTAACCTTGTGAGAAGCAGAGTCATCACCACTTATGCCAATGACCTCTGCGCCCGCTTTTTTGAATTTCTCGTAAGAGTCTCTGAATGCACAAGCCTGTTGTACAAGTAAAACCATTTAGTTTCACAAAACTAGATACGTAAATTATTGCGGATAAGAAGAAAGTAACAAAAGATGACCTGCTTGGTGCAGCCAGGGGTTTCATCTGCAGGGTAGAAATACACAACAACAGGCTTCCCTTTATACTTCTTCAGGGTCACAGGCTTTCCGTTCTGATCCTTTAATGTGAAGTCTGGTGCAGCCTGGCCCTTATTAGCCTGTCCACAAACATCACACAAACACAGATATATCCAAAAAATCAGGAGTCATAAGAATGCTCTTCATAAAAATGATATATATAAAAAAGAGAGTTCAGAGATGGACTAATGTCAGTTGGTTATTAATAAACATATTCAGGAGCATTCAAGTATTTGGTTGACTAGAGGTTTGTGAAAGTTTATTCTCAGGAGCTAGCCATGATTACAAGTTACTTCGATTAGGTTTGCAGAATCTGTTTTTGAGTCTGCACTACATTCGAATACAGATACAACAACTAAATTTTACATCTTATGTTCAGAAGACAAAAAAGAGGGTTCAGAGATGGCTACATGTAAGTTGGTCATTGATGAACATGTCAGAAGCATTCTAGTATTTGGTTGACTTGAGGTTTGTGAAAGTTTAGTGTCTCAAGAACAAGCCATGATTACAAGTTTCATCGATTTGGTTTTAGAATCTGTCTTTGAGCCAAATTCAGACACAAAGACAAAAAATTTGCATCTTATGTTTCTTCATCACAAGTGGGTTTTGGTTTACAACTGAAGAATCTGTTTTTAGTAGAATGCAAAACCAAGATTTCGATTCTTATAAAATACCACCAAAACTCAATCCCGTTTTATATATCATACTTACATGATTTTCACCATCACTTAATCAACACTGCGAAAAGATCTAATCACGTAGCACGTAAACGACGAGCAGAAAGAATCACTCAATAGAATTATGTATATTATATTATGTAATGAAACAAATTATATCTATTACCTTGATCATACTTTTTATCTTTTTTTATAAAAAAAGACATACTTTTTATCTTACTTCTCGAGGAACACAACATAAATTACAAACAACGTTGGTCTAAACGAAGAACCTAATTCCGAGAACTCGGGACCCAATTGTAGCAAACAAAGCATGTATTAATCGAATATGGCAAGAATCATGAAACGTACCTTGGAAAAGATTGAGCTTTTAAGAGAATAGGAAGAGAGGGGAGATATGGACGAAGAGTGAGAGAGTCTGAAGCCAAAGAAGTTAGATTCTGATGATTTTGTGGGAACTGAAAATTGGGTTTTGGTGAGAAGGGTGTTTCTGTGAGGGAGAGAGTGAAGTGTAGCGTGATGAGAAAAAGTGAAAGAAGAAGAAGAAGCAGCCATCTTTTTTTTCTACAAGGACGTCTCTCAGTGCTTTCTTCATGCACTTGTTCAAGTGAATAAGAAGTGGAGTGGAAGAACGAGATGAAGATAGGGAAAGATTGGTGACTATGGTAACACGTCAATCTCATTCCAAGTTCCAAAATTGTTAATGTTCATGGGCCTTTTTATTAAGGGGCCATTTACTAAGCCCGATTTAATATACTTACGGATTGGTACATAAAGTTCGTTCGGGGTGTTCTATAATTTGGTTAGTTCTAATCTGAAAATTTAACTGAAGTAAACCGAATAAAATTACGGGTCAGATCGGTATGATTTCGGTTCTTTTGGTTTGGTTCTTAAAATTTGTTGCCGAATTGACCATTTGACCTCAAGATTTCGAATTTTTTTGTTTTAAATTCGATTCGGTTTTCTTAATATAATTAGTTGGAACAAATCAGAACTAAAAAAATTCAATAAAATGTACATATACGAAAAACCCAACCAAACTGATATAAGAATAGATTACGGAGGAGGTGATGGTAGCTTGGAAGATAAAGTGGTTTTCTGTCGGTTTTTATTTTATCTAGATTTGGTTCCACATCCATGTGTATCCGTTTAGGTTAGTTACATCAAGTCACGTCTTGAAGTTTAAGATTCATCGCTTCATGTTTTGAAGTTTATGTAGTACTATGTATAATTTTAAAAATCTATAAGATTAAATGTAGTGTTTTTTTTATTTGGTGGATTATTTTTGATTGAATCTCATTATAATTTTTATTGGCATGCTACCATTTTTTTTTCTTACGTTAATACAGATTATTTTCAGGCACGTCTTTAATCTCTTGATTTTTCTTGGGCTTTTTCTTCTATAACCATATTTGAAAAACGATTAAAGAATATAGTTATAAAATTCAAATAATATGCAAACTAACCATGACCCACATGAAAATTACTAAAATCTCCTTCTTCGCGTGAAAATATCATAAAAACACATGTTATCCATATTTTCTTCTGAACTATGCTATAATATATGTTTTGTTTATGACAAAACTAATATAGTATAGTACTTGAATGTTTTTATTGTCATACTATATTATTTACAAAAATGATTATTTCATATAATTTGTATAGTATAACCTGTTATTCTTTAAGGAGAAGCGAAAGGAAGAGAAGGGAGGGGAGGGAAAGGGGAGGAAGGGAGAGGAGAAGAGAGGGGAGGGGAAGGGGAAGAGGAGAAATCAGAATCAGGAAAGGAAAGGGAGGAGAAGGGAAGAAGATTACAAAAGAGGGGAAAAAAGGAAAAAAAAAAGATATTTTCGTATATATTGTAAAAAATACAATGAATACTATAGCACCTCAATTGTTATGGTTATTTTCTGAATTTCAACTCTTTTTATGGTTATTGGAGCCAATTTCCCATTTCTCTTTTCTGAAGTAAAGAATACAAATGGGTTTTTTTTTCCTCATTTTTGCGGGGTTCGTATATTAGTTGAAGGCGAGTAAGGTCATCTGCTGTTTTATTTAGGTTAGTGTTCAATATTTGTTATTTGATTTTTATAATTATTATTATTATTTATTGAGATGGTCTACGACGTATTTGTCTATTCACTCTCAAGATATTAGCATTGGTTGTTCAAATTCCTGTTCGCAAATTTGGGAAGACATCTTCCAGAGTAGAGATCGAGATTCCCAACTGCAGGACGAGGCCGACGAGAGAGGTGGATCGAACGAGATGGATATCTCAGACGAATTGAACGCAATCATCGTGGAGGATGAAGTCAATCAGTTCGGCATCATCGATATGAACCCTCCAGTGAAGAAAGTCATGGCGGAAAGGGGAGAAGTTGGCCAGTCCGGCCTCAGAATTATGCCAACCAAGTTTACAATGGAGTCGTTGGTCACTTTGAAAGCAAAGTGCGAAATCGGCCCTGAAGTAATTTTTATGGTCCCGAGCCCGTCAGAACGGCCATAGGATGCTCCCAAAGGATGGTCATGCCTCTACGAGTGCTTCTTCACGGACTTTAACCTTCGGTTCCCACTTCCGAGGCTGCTGCTCGAGTTTGCCAATCGCAAGAAGACGCCAACCTGCCAGTTCACTCATGCGACGATTCTTCTGATTGTTAGCATGTTGGTGATGTCGATCAAACATGACATCTCCTTGAGCCGAGCCGCATTAGATTTGATCACAAACACCAGGAGAACAAAGGCGAAGTTGAGAAATCGAGACTCATACTACACGAGTATGAAGACGCGGTTTAACATCGTGGATGGCGGTCAGAAATCAAAAGTGGCGGACTGGGGAGACTGATACTTCTTCGTGCTCATCAACGAATTCTCCATCGTCGACCAGAATAAACCAATTCAAATGAAATCGGCAGAGGTCATAGGTAGAGATATGCCCGACCTGAAAAGTTATTTGGATGTTTGTGTATGTCTAACTCGCTGATCTGTTTGACTGTTTTTCAGGTAATAAGCATTTCCCCATCGTAGACGATCCGCTTGATATCTATAATATCTCCAAGAGGTTTTTAGCGATCAGTCCGATCACGTGGCCAGAGATTACGGAAGAGGAGATTGCAAGAACAACAGGTTAGTTTAGTTTATTTTCCCAGCCGGTAGTTGGTAATATTCTAGTGGGCTAAAATTCCTTCCTTTAATTTCTCTCCAGCTGCCCTTGAATGATATTTCACGTCGACCAGAGAAGATGAAATCGCACTAATTCAAAGACTTGTCAGCCGACCTGGAGTCTGCCTATGGGTCTCCAAGCGTCCGGGAGTCTGAAAACCCTGCACTGGAAGCATCACCAGATGGACGTGAAGCATCCAATGTGTCAAAAGACTTGGCTAAAAAAGATTCGGCCAAGGCAAAAAGGGCAGCCGATAAGAAGGCTGAGAGGGCAGCCGAGAAGAAGGCTGCCAAAAAGGCGGAGAAAGCTCGAATGAAAGCCGAGCTAGAGAAGTGCAGGGCGAGGATGCGCTAGGCAAAGAGGCCGAAGAGAACGATGGTAGCGGGGAAGGTGGTCCCACTAGTTTGAATAAGTGGGGTTCGGAGGAAATGCACGAGTACTCGCAGAGGTCAAAGAGGCCATGCGTCGAATGGGAGCTTTGTCTGTTTGGGTTTTCATACGACTATCGAGGAGATGGCCCGTTGGTGAATGATCCTATATCCTGCCTGGACTATTTTCTCCGCCTAAGGGATCACCCGGCTCTCCCTCCAACGGATCTCCGAAGCTTAATTCGCAGCAAAGCGGTTGCGCGCTTCGCAACCGATCAGGCCAAGGTAAAATATCCTAAACGGTCCGCTTCTCCATTCCTCGATATAAATACCAGATTGATCTTTAAAGATAAACCTTGTTTTCATGCAGGCCCTTAACACCGCACTGACTGTAATGTTTGAATATGATCTCGAATCCAAAAGGTGTCTGGCCGATCAGGCTGAGAGAGAAGCTGTGAAGGATGCTCTCGAGGCCAGGAGGAAAAAAAATCGCCAATCTTGAAGCTGCGCTTTAAGGATCTGCGGACGAGCTCACAAAAGCTCGTGCTGATAATAAAGAGAAGATCAAGCTTCTTGGTCGAGCCGTGAAGCAGATCACGAAGGAAAGAGCAGCCGCCAAGAAGAAACTTGAGGCCGAGCTGATAGCAGCGAAAACTCAGGTCCCAAGTTTTGTCGCTTCTATTTGATCTGCTTAAAGGTGGGATAGACGTGTAAATCGTGATCAGTAATCTAAGGGCTGATGCCTTTCATATCGGCCATTGACCATGCAAATGTTCCGGCATTCTGCCGAAGAAAAGCAATCAGCTCGTCTTGCATACTTGGCAGAAGCTTCGTGCCGATGCCGACACAACGCTCAGGATGAGCATTGTCGATATTGACCTTAGTAATGAGGTTTCTTTTCGGCTTCTCATGGTGGACTATCCGTGGATAAACACCATTGCTGTTGCCGATGACGAACGTAGATCCGTTACGTACACGCTGTTTGTCCACGTAGCAATGCCGAGATACCGTCTGGTCACCACATATAGTGAAGATATGGCGTCTGATAGGCATCTTGATGCACTGGTGATAGGAGGATGGGATGGCGCGCATGGCATTTGACCAAGGTGTACCCATGATAGCGTTGTAGATCGTTGGTCGATCAATGACTTTGAAATTAACTGTCACAGACTTTCCTCCATTGGTAACGGGCATTGTGATCGTGCCGATCGTCGATATCGAATCGCCAGAAAAGACTGTAAGTGGCGATGGTGCAATTTTGATGTCTCCTTCAGTGATGCTCATCTTCCGTAGGGTGTCCGTGAAGATCAGGTCGACGGAACTGCCTGTGTCGACTAGGATCTTGGAGACATCGTCTTCTTCAAGCTGAATTAAGATGACGAGGGGATCATTGTGACGTCGGTCTAGACCCTGATACGATCCTCCCAGGGAAGTCGTCACTCTAGAGTTGGTGAATTGATGGATAGATGGATAGGCCTTAGAACTAAGAAGAAATGATCTTCAAAGTACAAGGAAATGATGGATCGTAAGATCGCACAGAAGCTGCGGAAGGACTTCTGATATACCCCAACTTGAGTTCCTTAGATATGACACACTAAGACAAACTCAAGGTCGATTGAATGGATATGACACACCAAACAATCTCTTAACTCCCTGGATATGACACACCAAGACAAGCTAAATTTTGATCAATGGATATTACACACCAAGGATCGAAAATGTTCACAAGGAACAAAAGAGAATCACTCTCAAAGATTTTAATACAAAGGTGGCTATCTTATAAAATGATCTTACATGAGTTTATATAGAAAATTAAATAAGTAGGCAAAGGGCCAAACTCGTGGTCAAAGCTATAATTAAACAAAGACTGAATTAAAATTAAGTTTGAATAACTTTTGAACTACTTATGGGACCCTTCAACTAATTTTGTGGATGCCTCTTCAAATCTTCCTTCTTAGACACGAAATGGTCTTGCTTAAGTGAATGTGCTTAGTGATTTTGTGATCCATTTGCCTCATTAAAACCTT